TAAAATAACATCCTCTCTCTAATTTGATTCCCACTTACTTTACCGGCCAATCCTTGTTCTTTTTTTATTGAATTAATATCATGTTATTATGTAATCACCTTCTTAACCACTTTAAATCACCACCTGTCTGTTAGTTTGTCGTACTGTGGTGGCTTGTGTGTTGCTATGATGCTGGAAGCTATGTCACTGGTATTTGAAAAACCAGCAGGGTCACCCATGGTAGACAGGTTTCAGTGGAGCTTCCAGACTAGGACAGACTAGGAAAAAGGTCTGGTGATCTACCTCCAGAAATTGGTCAGTGAAAACCCTATTGATAACAATAGAATATTCTCTGATGTAGTGCTGTAAGATGAGCCTTCTAGGTTGGAAGGCACTCAAAACACACAGTGACCGCAACAATGGACTTGAGCATGCCAACAACCGTAAATATGGTGCAGGATCTGGCAACATTTCGTTCTGTTGTACATGGGCTTGCCATGAATCAGAGCCAACTCGACAAAAACTAACAACAACAAACCCCTTTAAAATTGTTTGGGCTAGGGAGAGGATACAAGGAAATGTAAGGGGGAAAGACATATAAACTGTTGTTGTTGTTAGGGGCAGTCAAGTCGGTTCCGACTCATAGTGACCCTATGTACAACAGAATGAAACACTCCCAGTCCTGCTCCATTCTCACAATCATTGTTATGCTTGAGCCCATTGTTGCAGTCACTGTGTCAGTCCATCTCGTTGAGGGTCTTCCTCTTTTTTGCTGATCTTCTACTTTACCAAGCATGATGTCCTTCTCCAGGGACAGATCCCTCCTGATAACATGTCCAAAGTATGTGAGATGTAGTCTAGCCATCCTTGCTTCTAACGAGCATTCCAGTTGTACTTCTTCCAAGACAGATTTGTTCGTTCTTTTGGCAGTCCATAGTATATTCAATATTCTCCGCCAACGCCGTAATTCAAAAGCATCAATTCCTCTTCGTTTTTACTTATTCATTGTCCAGCTTTCACATGCATATGAGGCAATTGAAAACATTATGGCTTGGATCAGGCACATCTTAGTCTTCAAGGTGACATCTTTCTTTTTCAATACTTTAAAGACGTTTTTTGCAGCAGATTTGCCCAACGCAATTCGTCATTTGATTTCTTGACTGCTTCTTCCATGGGTATTGATTGTGGACCTAAGTAAAATGAAATCCTTGACAACTTCATTCTTTTCTCTGTTTAGCATGATGTTGCTTATTGGTCCAGTTGTGAGGATTTTTGTTTTCTTTATGTTGAGGTGTAATCTATACTGAAGGCTGTGTTTTTTGATCTTCATCAGTAAGTGCTTCAAGTCCTCTTTGCTGTCAGCAAGCAAGGTTGTGTCATCTGCATACTGAAGGTTGTTAATGAGTCTTCCTTCAATCCTGATGTTGCATTCTTCTTCATATAGTCCAGCTTCTTGGATTATTTGCTCAGCATACAGATTGAATGAGTATGGTGAAGGATACAATCCTGACGCACACCTTTCCTGATTTTAAACCCTGCAGTATCCCCTTGTTCTGCTTGAATGACTGCCTCTTGATCTATGTACAGGTTCCTCACGAGCACAATTAAGTGTTCTGTAATTCCCATTCTCCACAATGTTATCCATAATTTGTTATGATCCACACAGTCGAATGCCTTTGCATAGTCAATAAAACACAGGTAAACATCTTTCTGGTATTCTCTGCTTTCAGTCAGGATCCATCTGACATCAGCAATGATATCCCTGTTTCCACGTCCTCTTCTAAATCTGGCTTGAATTTCTGGAAGTTCCCTGTCAATATACTGCAGCATCCGATTTTGAATGATCTTCAACATTTTGCTTGCATGTGATATTAATGATATTGTTCAATAATTTCTGCATTCGGTTGGGTCACTTTTCTTGGGAATAGGAATAAATATGGATCTCTTCCAGTCAGTTGGCCAGGTAACTGTCTTCCAAAGTTCTTGGCATAGACTTCCAGTGCTGCATCTGTTGAAACATCTCAACTGGTATTCCATCACATATAAGTGAACACATATAAGTTAGTATTTTTATATACAACACCACTACATATCCTATAGATAAATATATATATATATTTTTTTACTATTTAGCACACTCTTAACATTTGTTTCCAAAGTTGCTAATAAAGTACTGGTCAATTTGGCATTCTTTTATTTTTATGATTATAATCTTTCTGTTTCCCAGAATGATTACTAATAATTGGAAATTTGCATGATGCTGAGCTAAACAGAAGACTTAGAATGACACTATACGTTTTGCTTACAATTCTCCCAAAGACACAGATTCCTATGAAAATAGCACAGGAAAAAACAGAGATCTGTGAATTTAATTTCTGCTGATTTCCTTAAGCCTTCTGCTGGATTTACATTGTCAGCACACACATATGTGAATTCCCAAGAAATACAAGTAGAAGGAGAATAGAGAGAAGGGAAAAATATATTTGATTTCTTTATACAGTAATTATAGCTTTGTTCGAGGCCCTCAAGTATGAAGTTACTTATATCTATTTGTAAATCATCCATGTATATATGCATAAACCCACTCCATGTACGAGGAAGCATCTCAATTATCTGACATGTTGGATGATTCAGGTTTCTCATGATCCAAAGGTCAGTTCCTTAATTAACAAGGCTCTTTTAGAAACATTTTAGAGATGAGAATAAATTTTAAAAATGTTTTAAACTCATCTGATAGGCACAGTGGATTGAACATAAGCTAACCTCAGTGCACTGGGATTGTCACTGTGATACAAGGAAGCTCTCTCCAGGTCTGTTGATGTTCAGCCATTTCAGGGGATAGCATCGGATTAAGAACTGATGGTACTGAAGGAAGAAGTCCAAGCTGCACTAGAGGCACTGGTGAAAAACAAGGCTCCAGGAATTGACAGAATACCAATTGAGATGATTCAACAAAAGGATGCAGCACTGGAAGCACTCATTCATCTATGCCAAGAAATTTGGAAGACAGCTACCTGGCCGACCGACTGGAAGAGATCCATATTTATGCCTATTCCCAAGAAAGTTGACCCAAAAGAACGCGGACATTATCGAACAATATCATTAATATCACACACAAGTAAAATTTTGCTGACGATCATTCAAAAGTGGTTGCAGCAGTACACCGACAGGGAACTGCCAGAAATTCAAGCTGGATTCAGAAGAGGATGTGGAACGAGGGATATCATGGCTGATGTCAGATGTGTCTTGGCTGAAAGTAGAGAATATCAGAAAGGTATTTACCTGTGTTTTATTGACTATGCAAATACATTTTACTGTGTGGATCATAACAAAATTGGCCAAGAAGCAGTCGTTCAAACAGAGCAAGGGGATACTGCCTGGTTTAAAATAAAAAAAGGTGTACGTCAGAGTTGTATCCTTTCACCATACTTATTCAATCTGTATGCTGAGCAAATAATCCAAGAAGCTGGACTCTGTGAAGAAGAATGTAACATCAGGATTGAAGGAAGACTCATTAACAACCTTCAGTATGCAGATGACACAAACTTGCTTGCTGAAAGTGAAGAGGATTTGAAGCACTTACTGATGAAGATCAAAAAACACAGCCTTCAATATGGATTACACCTCAACATAAAGAAAACAAAAATCCTTACAACTGGACCAATAAGCAAAATCATGATAAATGGAGAAAAGAATGAAGTTGTCAAGGATTTCATTTTACTTGGATCCACAATCAACACCCATGGAAGTAGCAATCATGAAATCAAAGGGCGTATTGCACTGGGCAAATCTGCTGCAAAAGACCTTTAAAACGTTAAAAAGGAAAGATGTCACTTTGAGGACGAAGATGCACCTGATCCAAGCCATGATATTTTCAAATGCCTCATATGCATGTGAAGACTGGACAGTGAATAATGAAGACCAAAGAAGAATTGATGCCTTTGAATTATGGTGTTGGTGAAGAATATTCAATATACCATGGACCACCAGAAGAACGAACAAGTCTGTCTTAGAAGAAATACAGCCAGAGTGCTCCTTGGAAGCAAGGATGGCCAGACTTTGTCTCATGTACTTTGGACATGTTATCAGAAGGGACCAGTCCTTGGAGAAGGACGTCATGCTTGGTAAAGTAAGGAGTCAGTGAAAAAGAAGAAGGTTTCTCGACAAGATGGATTGACACAGTGGCTGCAACAATGGGCTCAAGCATAACAACAATTGCGAGGGATGGTGCAGGACCGAGCAGTGTTTCATTCTGTTGTACGGTGGGTCACTCTGAGTTGAAACTGACTCGACAGCACTTAAAAACAACAATTCTCCAGGTCTGAAAGGTGGGTGAGCCTCAGCTTCCACGTCTATTGAATGGCTCACCTAGCTTTCATGTTTTAGCAGGCGTTCTTTCCTTTTTCTTACTTTCGTTTTTGCTACTCTTGCTTCAGTTTTCTCTGCTTTCCCCCTTCCTGGTCATTATCCCTGATGCTTCTTTTAGTCTCTGCTATTGCAGAGGTTGGCTGCTTACTGATTTCTTCCTTCTGTTTTGCTTTTTTTTTTTTTTTCTTTATTGCTGTCTCTTCCTTTCTTGCCTCTTCTTTCAACTTTTATGACTTGATGGTAGCAGGGCTTAGGTTTAACGGCCATCATCACCCAACAAGAGCGTATCTTCTTTCAATCAGTATGCCAGCTAATCATAATGTATCTTTTAAATTTCATCTCTTTTTTCTTTTTATTAGGTCTGTCTTAGTTATCTAGTGCCGCTCTAACAGAAATACCGCAAGTGGATGGCTTTAACAAACAGAAATTTATTTTTTATAGGTTAGGAGGCTAGGAGTCCAAATTCAGGGTGCCAGCTCTAGGGGAAGGCTTTCTCTCTCTGTTGGCTCTAGAGGAAAGTCCTTGTCTCTTCTGAGCTTCTGCTCCTGGGCAATCTTCTTGTGGCTTGGAATCTGGCTTCCCCCCTTGTCTGCTTCTCTTGCTTGCTTTTTAAATCTGTTTTATATCTCAAAAGAGATTGACTTGAGCTCCCCAGGTGGGGATGCTGCAGATCGGCTGCTGGCTGAGCCAGCTCTGGGCAGGACCCAGTGCTCTTGCCTCTGCTCAGCTTCCTTTCGGCGCCGGGATGCCTAAGAAGGCTGGTGCGACGAACAAGGGTAAAAGCCAGAGCAAGGAACCAGAGAGACCACTTCCTTCCTTAGGTCCTGTGGCAGTTGATCCTAAAGGTTGTGTCACCATAGCCATCCATGACAAACCTGGCTCCAAACAAAATATTGTAACAGACCTGACAGTTGAAGCCATATATGTAGCTATGGCAGCACCTCCATCAGAAGGCGAGGCTAATGCTGATCTCTGCCACTGTCTTACCAAGGTCTTAGAACTCAGGAAGAGTGATGTGGTTCTGGATAAAGGTGGTAAGTCTTGCGAAAAGGTAGTGAAGATTTTGACCTCCACAACTCCAGAAGAGATCTTGGGGAAATTACAAAAGCAAGCCAAAAATAAACAGAGGCAAGAAATGAAAAATATATTGTTGACAAACTTTTATTGCTAACGACGAAGAGGCTGTTAAATAGGAAAACATATTTAAATTCACAGAAAAACATGGAACTATACTTTTAATAAATATTCAAAAGACTCAAAAAAGAAGTAGAAATTCAAGAAGCAGTGTGTATGGAATACAGGTTTTAAAATTCCTGACCCAAAACATCTTGGACCTTGTCAGTCTGATTTCACTGCATTACAAAATAACAGATCTGGAAAGGATATTCGTGATGACCTGATTTAACCCCTTTCATTTTGTGACCAAAGACCAAACCAAACCGGTTGCTATCCAGTCAATTTCGGCTCATAGTGACCCTGTGGGACAGAGTGGAACTGCCCCATAGGGTTTCCAAGGAGCGGCTGGTGGATTCTGACCGCTGACCTTTTGGTTAGCAGCCGAGCTCTTAACCACTGTGCCACCAGGGCTTTCATTTTGTGACAGGACTTCTAATATCTAGAGTTTGAGAGACTTATTCAAGATGGCACTGTGAAAGATGGGATCAGAAACCAGACCCCTGACTCCTAATTGAATGCAGTTTATCCTGATTGTAAATTATAATAATATTTCCATTCTTGCTTTACTTGTTTCTGGAATTATGAGGATTGCCTTCTAATCTAGTTTACAAGTGACAGAAGAAAACCTGTCACACTGGTTTGTAGTCTTACCTTGTATTTTAAATGCTTATCTAAATGCACAAATGTTTTGTACATCTTTTTAAAACTACACTGAGTATTTTATGAAAAAGTAAATAAAAATAATTAAGACATAATTTAATGTTAATTAAAAATTCAAGATGACATTGGAAAAAAAAGATTGACTTAAGACATACATTATAATAATCCTGCTTCATTAACATAACAAAGACAGTCCATCCCCAAATGGGATTATAGCCACAGGTTTAGAGGTTAGGATTTGCAACACAAATTTTTGGGAGACACAATTCAATCCATAACAATGTCCATTGGTATAATTACAGGCTTTAAAATGGTTTCTCAGTTCATGGTTTGTTCTTGAAGGTTGATAGTGCTTGATTGGATAAGTGAGTGATCATATATGTAGAAGTCATAGGCCTTAGAACTAGAAAGAACTAAAGATTGTCTAATCTGACTGCTTTGTCTTTTAAGTGGGGATACTGAAGTAAGTTACTTAACCAAGGCCACTCAAACATATGGTAGGAAAACTTATAGACCAAGACATACATCTGTAAATCTACATTTGGAAGAGAATCATATTAGCTCTTTCAATCAAACAAAAAAACAGTTGCCTTCTAGTCAATTCCAGCTATGACTTTTCAGAAGCAGATTTCCAGGCCTTTCTTCTGAGGTGCCTCTGGTTGGGTTCGAATTTGCCAACCTTTTGGTTAACTGTTTGTGCCACCTAATGCCCCTATTAGTGCTTTAATCCTATATATAATGCAAGGAGAGTTCAAGGAGCTGAGCAAGCAATTGTTGTTCAATAGTTTTCAGCCTCCTAGGGAAAAAAATCTGCTCCATTCTAACACATTGTGCTGTAGATTTGTCCCTAAATTTATACTTATAGTAAATTTATAGGGTTTTCTCACAAATAAAAGCTGTTTCCTTATAATTGCATTTATTTATGTATGTATAGAACATACAGTATCCGATTGCCTGAAATTTGCTCTATTTACTGTTTCATACACATTGAGTGTTTTAAATGACTAAATGACTGTTTTGGGTTGGAGTTAACACTCTGGATATCACTGAATCTTATACTTATTAAAAAAACTTAAAAATATTTTGCCATTAGAGAAATAAACATACAATAAAAATGTCCTTTTGTGTGACACTTACGTATTTTATTTTATCTAGAAAAATTGAATCTGAGACTTAGAAAGAAACTTAGAGATTTTTAGTTCAACTCTCCACCCAGCACAGTAATTTTCTAAGATTATAACTCTGATGAGTAACCAACTTCTGCCTGAAAACCTTCAGAGACTGGTACCATCCTCAGGAGGCAGCTGTTACTGTTGCTGGACAGCACAGTAGAAAGTTCTCTCTTGCATTGAATCGAAATCTGCCTTCTTTAACTTTTAACCCTTTATCCTAGTTCTGGTCTCTGGAGCAACACAGAATTGGTATATTCTTCTCTCTATGACAGCCCTTCAAATATTTGAAAGCAGATATTATGCCTTCCCTTATTCTTTCCTTCCCCAGTTGTTTGAATAATTTATCAAAAATTATAGCTTCTCCCATTCATCTGGTCATTTGTCATTTGATTACATTCTAATTGGTCAATGTCCCTCTTAAAATGTGGCATCCAAAATTGAATTCCATATTATAGATGTGGTTTAACTAGTCAGAAATACAATAGAACTGTCACTGGTAGTGATCTGTGGGTAGTAATTTCTCAGGGAAGCCTCATCCTTTAGACTGACTAAATCCCTTCCAAGAAGTTGACTCTTAAGAAAACACTTGGTAAACTGTACAGTGCTTTATAAATGAAATACTTTGTTATAATCCACTTTAAGGCTTTAAAAAATACAACAGCTACTCAGAGAATGTGTTTCTTCCGCCATGCTTAATTCCAAAATTTAGGTCTGCAGAGTTAGCAAAAAGGCTAGTAATATTTTTTTCTTTGGCAAATATATAGAAACACTTTAAATCTCAACCATTATGCTTGGACCTCAACTGAGTTGAACCAGTTTTACATAATTTAGTAATATTTGGAACATGCTTTTTTTGGGGGAAGCAAATGATAAATGTCACTTTGGGTCTGTGCATACTTATGTAATGAGACAATAATAAAATCTATTGGCAAGACATTTTAATAAGTAGAAGCATTTTTACACTTGAAGCAGAGCTTTCAGTATATAATCTATATTTCCTCCACTTTAAAGTATACTTTTTCCCATTATTTATTTATTTTATTTACGGTAAAAATATACACAACAAAACGTATGCCTGTTCATCAATTTCTACATGTACAATTCAGTGACATTGGTTACATTCTTCACGCTGTGTTACCATTCTCGGTATCTCTTCCCAAAGTATTTCACCACCACTAACTTTAGGCTCACTACCCCCTAAACTTCTCATCTGTGCTCAAGATTTCTGATTTAAACTTTTTAGTAGAATGGGAACCCAGTTTGAATATGGTTTAATTTTATCATCTATCTAATTCATTCATTCATTCTCAATTGCTTATTGAATTTTGATTATGTGTTAAGGACTTGAAAAAGACATTAATAAATAGTTTTTTTTCCCTTCATTATTCCTAGAAGGGGTTTTGTAACTCTTTTCTAATGTGCTTGACATGAATTTACACCCTAAACATTCTGATTAAGGATTTAATGCACCGTTAAATGGAATTATCTCAAGACCAGCTATAACCAGTTACAGCTGGTAAATACAAATGTGTATAAATATAATTGTGAAATATCCCAAATCGGAAGATGGTAAAGATGGGGAGCCCAATACATTACTTGGCACATAATAGATTCTTAATCAATATTTGCCATATGAATACTGAGTATTGTTATTGTTGCATGCCCTCGCGTTGATTCAGACTCATAACGACCCTATAGGGCACAGTAGTACTGTCCTCTAGAGTTTCCAAAGCTATAATCTTTTTTTTAAATTTAATTATTTAATTTATTTACTGTACTTTAGAGAAGGTTTACAGAACAAATAGTTTCTTATTAAACACTTAGTACACATATTGTTTTATGACAATGGTTAACAACCCCACAACACGTCAACACTGTCCCTTCTCAACCTTGAGTTCCCTATTACCAGCTTTCCCCCGTCTCCTCCTGCAAGGCTGTAATCTTTATGGAAGCAGATTGACACCTTTTTCTCCTAAGGATCTGCTGGGTGGGTTCAAACCCCTGACCTTTCAGTTAGCAGCTGAGCACTTAACCACTGCACCACCAGGGCTCCTTACTGCATATTAAAACCAAACAGAACCAAATCCATTGCCATTGAGTTGATTCTGACTCATAGTGACCCTAGACTACAGAGTAGCACTGCTCCATAGAGTTTCCAAGGCTGTAAATCTTTACGGAAGCCAACTGCCACATCTTTCTCCTGCAGAACAACTGGTGGGTTCCAACTGCAGACCTTTGGGTTAGCAGCTGAGCGCTTAACCACTGTGCAACCAGGGCTCCTTTGGCAAAGCACTTGGTGTTACAGCTGGAGGTTTAGTCCTATAGATTGATGTGCTGTTGTTCAAATGATGTGGACACATCTGGGACTGCGCTGTATTTTAAGACCTCCTATCTCTTTTTGAGGAAACCCTGGTGGTGTAGTGGTTAAGTGCTATGGCTGCTAACCAAAAGGTCAGCAGTTGGAACCCACCAGTGCTTCTTGGAAACTCTGTGGGGGCAGTTCTACTGTGTCCTATAGCGTCACTATAGTTGGAATCGACTTGACAGCAATGGGTATCTCTTTAGGAGGAACATTATCTCTTGGTCAAAAAATGACTACATTTTCTAAAGCATGATAATGTTGTGGTGGTTATAGTTTGATTTGTAACATGTATCAAATACTCTAAAGAACATAAATTACTTTTAAGTACATAAATATTCAAATAAAAAAATCAGTTGTTTAGTACTATCTACACTGGGAAGAAATTTATCAAAGAATGTAACCCAATAAATCATTCCTCAGGATTATAGTATTCTGATATTCACTTAGAAAAATAAGGAAAGATTAGAATTCTGGAGACTCAGCCATCTATTGGCATTCCCCCTCCCCTCCCTTTTTTGGGTTGTAAAAGGTAAATTTTATTCTTCTTTTTTTTTTCTTTTTTAGAGTCCTTGGGTAGTACAAATGGTTAACATGATTGGTTCCTAACCAAAAGGTTGGAGATTTGAGTCCACCTCAAGGTACCTTGGAATAAAGGCCTGACAATCTACTTCTAAAAAAATCAGCCCTTGAAAACCCTAAGGAGCATGGTTCTACTCTGACACACATGGGATCACCATGCATCCACAACTTTCTTTTTTTTCCTTGTTACAAATTTTGGTGACTGGGGCCTCATAAATTGGA